TGTGTGTAATTAAATGTAATAAAAAAAAATGTTAGTTCCAAATATGATTAAGCGTCTAAAAATTTAAGTTATTTAGATAAATATATAAATAGTTATCGCAGTTATAGAAAACAAGATAATTAATTTCACATGAACACCATAAAATTCTGTAAAATAAAAATAAAAATAGTTGTTATTATTTATATTTTTACTTGTCAGGTCTTACTCTCTTTGAAATATTTGGAATTTTGCAGCATTCTTTGATTAACTGTGGGTCGGAAATGTAACACACATTATGATCCATTTCTAATATTGTTTAAATACTAAAGACTATTATTTATAAATAAGAATACATATWATTGCATATTTAAAAATYTACATTATTTATCGGGTAAAAACGAACCACAAAAATAAAAAGAATATGAGTACAATAGAGATTATTTTGTTGTGAGACGAAAACAAAACTCTATTMAAATCCAACAAAATTGTTTTATATGTTGATAGGTAATATTACAAATATATAAGAAATACTCAATATTAATGTAATAGATCAAAGAAAATGGGGCGAAGGAACGTCTTCTCAACGACATTTCTCTTATCACGATTACTCTGATAGCAATATTATCCAGTGTTTACCAAAAAGTGTTGCGGAGTTGCGGTCACGATTTAAGATATTGTAATATAATATTACAATATTATGTATGATATTATCTTAAGTATCGTGTTTTCGGTCAAAACAAAATTTTTGTATTATCAAAGTGAGTTTCAAAGATGGAGTAAGATTTAATTAGACAATATTATGGTTTAAAACCAAATGCGACTTGATCACGGAGCGCAGGCAGTGGCGTACTGGCGTACCTATCTTGTATCAACAAAATAATATGTATTTAAGCCCAGGGACGCACCTAATTTTTCGGGACCCTTATAAAGTTTCAGTTGCTACTTGTTGATTAGGCMGATTAGTGGCTCAAGGGCCCCATTTGTAAAACACAGCTAAAGGGCCCTGGTGCAATGACGCACCACCTGCGCCCCCTCTAAGTAYGCTCATTGGCGCRAATAGGTAGGGGCTTGGGGGGGACTTAATCMCCCCATATTTTTGCCCAAGTCCTCCCAGTTCAAAAGTCAGTAATTAGTACTGAGCATATATTATAAGTTTTAGAAAATATTTTAGGAGGGGCTTTACTGCTTTAGTCCCCCCTAAAGTAATTTGTCTATTTGCGCACAGTATGAGTACGCCACTGAGCGCAGGCCAGGCCCTATTTTTATGTGCATCACGACATATCATACAATGTACACCACGAATGTACAATTAGTGTGCACTAAGATTTGAACGTGTGTACGCACTATGGTCTACAAAATCAAAAATTACATAATAGTGCCGCAATCAGAGGCGGACTGGGAGGTGAACGGCCCAGTATTCTACTGTCGGGGCCGGCACTACCCGTTTATACCATCCTCTATGAATAAGATATTTAAAAATACCTCCACTGGGAGGCTTCTACGCTCTGTTATATACYTATATCTAGRTTGTTATTTTATTTTTATTTTTATTTTATTTTTCTTCTACTTTCCAATTTCATCAATTGTTCTTATTGTTCTTTTTGTAACAGATTGAATAAAACATTTATAAAAAAAAAAAAAAAAAAATACATTTATTATTAATATACTAATATTATCAATTGATGTTCATGAGCCCACGGCGGCCCATATATTGAGCCGGCCCGGTGTTCTACGGCACACTAGCACGCCTGGCCAGTCCGCCCCTGGCCGCAATAACCTGGTGTGTTGCGTGTGTCAAACACACGGGGCACGGGCCCAGGGCCCCAACCCATAATGGGGGCCCAATGATAAAAATTAAAAAATATATAGAAAGAAATAAAATAAAACTATTTTGTTATAATAATAATTACAGATTGAGCAATAGATCGGTTTTGTTTTGTACACAACATTATCGTACATTAACGTTTCTTATGCAGCCTGAATAACCGAAATAAATGAAAAATTAATTTTATAATAGTCAATAGGTTAATATTTTCAATTTTTAAGAGGGGTCAC